GAATGGGAGAACCTAATGCACTTATATTCTGCATACATGGCAGACTATAAGAGCACCCATATCATGTTCAACAAGTATAAGACAAATCTGATGTGAACCAACCTGAAGCTTAGTGGATATAGGCAGTGGATTTTACCTCTCATTAAAATGGTAATACTATACATTTACTAGTACACACAATGACAGTTCAGCCAGTACCCTGTAACATGGAGAGAACTCTGACAGAAATAACACTTCAGTAGGCTGTAACACTTCTAGAAAAGCTATATGTTTATTGTAAGGCTTGACATACATGATTTTTTAAATACTGATTGCCATTGCATATATTCAAGTCATAGGGACCATTCCCTACTGAACTAGCAGGGTCGATCTATCTCTGAGGGGATTCTCACTAAATTGCATTCAGTTTATGTATGCAATTTAGGGAGAATCCCCTTGGAGTTAGATCGATCCTGCCAGTATGATAGGTTTATGAGAACCCAGTCATATTTAACTATGAGAGGCCAATTTTTAGTAGTACTATCAGTATTATTCTCATGTTCTACATCAATGGTGACATTCATGCAAAAGATCTATGACGAAGCTATAATCCGAAGTTGACTTCATCCAGGGCTAACCTGTCTCATGCCAAACTCGCATCCAAATTACAAGCTACGCAACTAAATCAACAATATCCAGACCACCTGTACAATCTGTGCAAGAAGTAATGAAGTCAACTCTGTGCTTTTTGACCACAGTGTTAGGAGTGCACTTATTTTAAGTGCGTGCAAGACACCACAAAAAAACAGAACCATTTGTGGCTCCTTTGAAGGTTAAGTGATGTAAGTTGTTAAGCTGAATGCAATGGGCCAATTTTCTCTGATATATTTCACATGTACACCTTGTGCCCTTTGATGTGTCTGCTGTAGTTGGCAGACAGTTTTAAATAAAAAGGGTAAAAAGACTGCTAGTCTTTTATATAGTAAATCCGAGAGAAATGTGTATAGGAAGAGATGACGAGAGAGAGAAAAATGAATGGGAGGAAAAAAGGGAGGAGAGAAAATGATCGGTTTAAGATTACTATATTGAGGGATTTTTTCTTTACATTGGAGCACTTGAGGAAATAGTGTTCACTCATTTCTAGCATTCCTCAATCTGTCACCGTGTGTAGCTACTCCCTCGTTAATGTCTCCCTATCATTCATGTCTCTGACCATTTCATGCTTGAGCTCTTATCTTGCAACATGAAAGGTTTCATTGGGGCACTAGTCCTTTGAAGACGGTCAATGTGTGTTTAATCCAGCCTTTACTTTTGAATTTTAGGGTATCCAGATAAATAACAAGACTGTTAAACCATGACCTTGTGTGGAAAAGAGAAGGGAAAGAGGCCACTCCACCCACCATTACTTCAGTAAACAAACCTCTTTTAAACAAGCTAGGTTGGTTAACTATTAGACAATCCAAACATCTTTGTTGTATAAGTGACAACAAAGCCTCCAGTGCAAATATAAGGTCACATCAGTTTATATATTATGACACCTTAAAGTAAATCATTGCAAAAGAGAAAAAAATTCTTGCTAGACATGAAAATCTGACCAACCTCAGGCCTACCCAACTACCAGACTCGGCACCGAATGATCCAGAATTCACCAGTAAATCGGACCACACTACCCGTTTTCAAGGTGTGTATCAGATCGCATTACATAGTACCAGATCATTCGCTCTTGCCTAGTATGTGATGTGATAGTGACAATTCTCAGCGGGGTTGAAAAGCATTGCATCACCACTCAAAATTTGTTCAGGGTATGATACTGTGTAATGCGATCTGATACACACCTTGAAAACGGGTAGTGTGTCTGATCTACCGGTGAATTAGGACCTTACCTAACACCATCCACCCTAACTTATCTTGGCAGTTTTATCATTAAAATATGTTATGAGAAAAAAAAAAATGAATGAAATAAATTAATACTAGTTTGATAATTTACGTATAACACATGGATTTTATTTTTGAAATTTGCTTGTAAATGAGTAAGCATTTATATCAAAACTGCTATCTCCTTTGAATAAAACAGGATAACAGTGCTAACTGCTCAGCATGAGATACAGAGGACTACACAGTGTTTGTGCACTGAGATAAAAGTGAAATATTAAGCAAAGATAAAGTTCAACAGAATGACAGTTAGGAATTCCGGGCTCCATTCAAAGACCACTGATAGTTAGGCTAAAAATAGGTAATATTTAAACCAAATGGAGTCTAATAAATTGATACTGAAGAAAAGGTACATTAAAAAGACATTTTTAGAAGTGAGGATCAAAAATAAAAAAAATAAAGTTGGCGTACAAAATGTTTTGTCAAACAAATGTTTTAGTAATCTTACAAGTTTATTGAATCACTGAACAGACCTGAAAAAAAAAAAAAAAAAGCACAATAATGCTTACATCTGTTGATTTATTCTTCTGCCAAAAAAGTTATCTAGACAATATCCTGGACTTCTTTTAAGTATATCCAGGCAATGGTGCAAACTGCCAATTTTAACCTGCTCTCTAACCAGTCAAAACCTCAGCAAAAAAAAGTCCCAAGCCCTTGAACAAATTCCTCATACAAAAGGAATTTTGCAGCTTTCCCATCACCAGCCAGCATGCACACAAATGACCTAGCACATGGTTTGGCTTGCTTATTTAGACACTGGCATTGAGTAAACAACAAAACTATCATCCTTGACCATAAACTTTACCTGTATAACACACCAATGACCTAGTTCATCTTTTATGCACACACTTCGCAGACGCCTAAACACTAGAATGCGCGACTGTAATGAGACTGTAATAACACATCTTGTATGTTGTCATTTGATAACAGTTCTAAGGGGGGTAAATTTACTAGATGACTACATGACATTAAGCACTAATTCAATCTGAATATGACACCAGTAATATTTTTCACACCTGACTTAAGACCTTAGTGGTTTGGTATACACCTGGCCATCCTTACCTGGTAAATCACATGGTTTATTCTAACACATTCCAATTTTTATTTCAATTGTTTCAGAAAAGTCAACATATAGACCAAATCAATGATAAAAGAGGGAAAGCCATTTTTCCTACCTTCTTAGCTGATGTTTTATTTTCTAACTGTTCACTGGGGTGACTCGTCTAAACTGGCTTTTCTTCCATTCTTAATACATATGGATTCCCTTCAAGTATTTTCTATCATAAGTGTTATAGATCCATTACTGTTTACAAATACAATGCACCTATTTTTTGGAATCAATCAAATGACTCATGAAAATGCTTACACTGTACATAAATAGTCAGAAACATTGGTTATTTTCAAACCCTCGACTCTAATGCTCATTAAAACCTGACATATTGGTGGATGTAGTTAACTGTAAATAGCAGGTGTTAATACCCCATTTTCTCTCTCTTGAGCAGGATGCAGAAAATGTGATTATCAAGAAACACAATACCAACTTGTGCACACTACAACTTAACATTACCTTCAACATACAAGTAATCCAGCTGGCCATTTGAATAGATCATTATAATTAGTCAGGCAGAGGCTAAATCCAACTCTGCCCAGCAGCTTATAATATATAATTTCAAAAGTAACCTGACCAATACATATTGACCCTATATTGACCCTATATATATATATATATTAAAGAGTGTAAAGAATGTTTATCAAAATCTATTGTCATTTCTCTGCAAACAAACTGAATCTGAACATGCTTTAAAACCTAGCAGACATAAAATCCAACAAGACAGATGACATTTACAAGTTGTAATTATATAAATTGCTTATAGAAATTGCCTGTCACTATGACAGACAACAAAGGTGATTCTATAATTTCATTGCTGAAAGGGCAATTTTTCAGAAAAAGGTACTAAAAGAGACATTATTTAACACCCCCATTCAAAAAAGTACCTTTTCATATTTCAGTACATAGACATTATTAAAAACCTTTCCTGTCTCCAACATATAAATCACCAGTATAATCCATGAGGTAATGACATAAACAGACAGACACAACAAGCTGGCGTGTGTAAAATGACCCTTAATAGTACCTCTAGTGTGACATGGGTGCATCATTGTCTGCAAATTACTGGCTGGTCAATTTGTCAGGCACAGTTACATGGTCAGTAGACCAATTCAAAGGGATGACCAGTGGCTAGTGGGTTATCTATATTTCCTACTATAAATAACAGCCTTGTAAACAAGTAACTAATTCAGTTAGCCGTGAGAAACTAAACAAAAATATGTTGTTGTTTTAGAAAGGGCAGATATCATCAACATGGTAAACAGTTATGGTATCTTCGCTGTGAATAACGCATCATGTTAAACTGGATGCTGGTCTACTAACTGTAATACTGATAACATTGTAGTTTAAAATCAGTTTTTCTAACAATGTATCTATATTTCTAACAGTATATACTGCATTGAGATTTCTTCCCAAGCACCCCACCCACTTTGCTAAAAATAAAATTAATGGGATTTTCACGCTGTTTTACGGCCAATGTTGCCACTATAAAACTAAGGATTTATTAAGCTAACAAACGGACGCTGGTATATGTCAGTTATATCTGAATTTTGCAATAAACTTTCCTGAACAAACAGATATTTTAAATATGAACCAGACGCCGTTTCTAGACTGATAAAGAGGGTAATCTAAGGCCGAGCTTCCTCGTACATAGAATCCAAACTATTCAAGATGGCGGATGCAGGATCGGTGCGATTCACAGAGAATATTTAACTCTAATTTGGATAAATTTAGACGAATTTGATATTGAATCCACAACGAAAGTATCAGACGATAGTTGTAGAACGCACAAACGCCAGGGGACAGCGTGACCCGTTTCACAGTCTCTCCAAGCCCCGATGACTCATTCATGCCGACATGCTGGGGGAATGAGCAGCGAGCAAGAAGCCGGCGCCTCGCCGATCGCGTTGTAATTTTTCAGCATTCTACGCATGCAATTAAAATATAAATGTAAACGATTGTAGTTATTGTTCTTACTCACCTTCACACTGTGTCAGTGATTTAGGTACTATCCCCCAAACCCGCCAATAGTCCACTCTACAAGGACCTCCAATCTATGCAAATCAGGCGGAGCACCGGCTGTTGGCTGTTCGATGATCAATAGACACGCCCTCTGCTGTTGGTTGAGAAAACGCAATTAGCGCAGCAACTGCATTTACCTGTTAAGACACAATCACGCCCACTTTGCCTTTGGGCGTGAGAAAATGCAATAAAAAACTAAAGGGCTCAATTCCAATGAAACCATCCTTCTACCTAGATCGATCCAACTTCACTAGGACTCTTGCAAAATGCAGTTAGTTTATCAGATTTTAAACACATCTCCCCTAGGCACTGAATAGCATACAGAAAAGTTGGTGACTTAAACAAGTATGAAAGTATGTTGGACATAAGAAGAGGCAAACTTAACAGTTTCATTGGGAATGAGTCCTAACATGACAGACAAAATCCACTATGTCAGTTTTAGGAGCCTTTGTGTGTGATTCCAAATTTCAAATGTACATATGTACTTCGGCACTTGTAGAGCTTATGCTTTAGACAGAAAATAAAATTAATGTCAAAATACTTGCCCCCTACATTTGGACACGGCATGAAGAATGAATTATGTCAAAAACATTTTTTAAAATCTTTAAACAAAATAAAGGGCCCATCAATAAAATGAGAATGACATATTTTGTTAACTAAGTATTTATTTCCTCTTCCTTCAGATAGTACATTTATAATTTAGACATGTCTGAAATGCTTCTAATAATAGCCAAGTAAATGCAGTCAAATTTTTAATATGTGGTGCTTATCAAATCACAGACATTGGTTTCAAATTATTATTAAATAATTTCTTAAAATGCTACCAGCGCATTACAAAATTGTACTTGTAAACAGAGCATAATTACTTTGTGATCCATATAAATCAGAATAATATACATGTAAGTACTTTTAATGGACGGATCCAGCTATGTACACAAATATATCTTATCAAACTGACTTAGTTACATTAAAAAATCATTTCAATAGAAAAGCTAGCACTAGTAGAGATTGCAGTGTAAAGCTGAATATATAAAAATCTGGATTATATATATATAAATATTGATAAATGCTTGAAATAAACAGATTATGTTATGGACGGCATGGCAAATGAGGCATGTTTATGCTCTCAATTTGATTTCCATTTTCTCTTAAGCAATTTCTCAAAAAATATATTTTTTCATAATTTCATGGTATTTATGAAACAATTTGCAGTTCTACTACAATGCTTGAAAAAGATTTTTGGTCTTGGTCTCAAAATAACATCATTTGGACGGTATTCATAATGTATACACATAGGATATAGAACAGTTGACATTTGTGGACTAGTCTCTTTTCATAAATGTTCCCATAAATATTGGACGTCAAGAAACTCAGCTACAATGTGCTATGTAAATATCTGAGGTAACTCAAATGCTGAGCAGTTTCTCAGAACAATATTTTGTGTCAAAAAATAACCTAATCTGGACGGCATGCATAATATACAGCTAACTAAATAATAGAAAATTTAACATTTATAGACTGTAGTCTTTCTTCAAATGCTAAATATTTGACAGGTGTATGTTGTATGTCCAGTAAAGCATTCCATAAGGCGCTTAATTTCTGCGTAGTCAAAAAATGTTTGTGAATGGAATGGCTTATTTCTTTTTCAATGCAGATTTAGGTGGTGGCTTGGCAGGAGCTCCTCCACTAGACCCAGCTGTATCTTGCTTCGTAGTCCCTGCTGTGCTGTCCAGTTTGGAGTTGAGACTAGCCTTCTTTTCCTGTAGCTCCTTCTTGCAAACATCCAGTTTCTCCGACACTGCCTTGTGCTGCATCTCCAATTTTGTAAGATGAGATCGAGCTGCAGACAACTGTGACCTCAAAGCATTCAGCGTCTGCATGCGCTGATCATGTTCTCGAGAGTCTGGATGTGTCTTACTGGCCAGGTCTGTCTCCTGGGTCATTTCGCCTTCCAGTTTGTTAATGACTTCTCTCTGGTGTACTACCTGGCTTGAGGCATCGGAGAAGTCTGCATACAGGCAGTCTACTTTCTCCTCCAGGCCCTTTACTTGTTCCTAGAAAAGTAACAAATTAAAATATTTTACAGTCAGTTTAATTTTGTCACAACATTCATGTTGAGACGACTGTGCTTGCTGCAGTAAAACTAGCTGCAATGACCACTTAAGACAAAGACAATCAGAATTATCATGCATTTATTATATATTTACAGAACTATAGTTTACCATTTTGAAAATCAGGTAATTTGTGAATTTTAAAGAATCCTTACATAAAACATTTAGGTTTGAGTTGGCAATGGGGTAATGGTCTTTAAGTATTGAAATAATAATTAATAATTGATTCTACTGTGATATCTATGAACCTCAATGAACCGTCTTTGTCAATAAAAGCTCAGAATTCCAATATGGTTGAACCTACCATGAGCTGTGAGGTTGAATCCATGGGTGACTGTCTGATTGCCATGTCAGGGGAGGGCTCTAATTTGTTGACAAATGTCCTGTAGAGGGCAGTACCAGTCATATTGGCTGTCATCACACTGGCCATTGAGGGTTTGTCCACAGACTTCAGACCATCACCTGAATACGATTTTGGGAAAATGTAATAAAGTTTAGGGCCCATAACCATCAATTATAAACACCATAACAAATAACAAATAACTGACAAAATCTGAAATATCATGGCAAGCTAAAATATAGTTTTCCCTTTGATATATATAAAAATGACATAAAAACAGATAACACCGATACGTAAATAAATGAAAGTCACCTTAAACACAATATAAGAAAATGTCTGATTGTGAGAATATTTCATTGTTTTCTACATAAAAGCAAATGCCTTGCAGTAAAAAATGTAAACAGATAAAGTAAGACAAACAACACCCATTAGTCTGCATTACCTGTGCTTTCTCTGTGTTTAGCTGCCAGTTCCTCAGTCACTTGGGCAGCAGAGCCATGAATGTTAGCAGACTTTATCTTGTCTTCTACTGAACCCAACTGGGACTGCAGTTTGTTGCTCAAAGTAAACCGGGAATATTTGTTTAGCCTAGAATAAAAAATGAGAAAATTAAAGTTTGGTTAGTTACACATTTTTTTCACAAACTGAAGCATGTCAGCTATTAACGAGTACTGACAAATTATTTTGTATTTTGATTATACTAATATTAGACCTATAACAAATGCAAATAAATAAACTAGAAAATTTTATTTTAATAATACACTATTACATCAGCAACTTAATTATTAAAATAAATGACTTCAAGAAACTACATGCACATCCCCTTTCCTGACACTTTTAAAATCTTAATAAACTCTACCTTTCTTGTAATCTCTCCTTGTTGAAATGAACCCCTTCAATGTCAGTAGCAGGCAGGAGAGCCACATCCAACAATTCCTCAACCATATGGTGTTTTTCTTCTTCATTATGATGATCTCCAAATACAGCTTCCAGTAGCTGACTGGCTTGTTCTTTGCTGCTGGGCACTTCTGCAATAGGTGTAGTAATGGCGGAAGAACGACGGAATCGAGCGAAGAAGAGATCGTTGCAGACAACTGCGAGTGCACGGTGGAATTCTTTGGTGAAGAATGGGCTAGTGTCGTCTCTGAGATCACCTGTGAAAGAAAAATATGGTTTTCACATTTGTTTTACAATCACGTTGCATTTACCAATTTACTGTTTTATGTTATAAACTGTGGAAAACAAACACGATTTGAACTTTTAGTCTAGAACTCATCAGAATGCATGAAATTCAATCTGAATATCTCTGATTTATTTTTCTAATATGAATCATTATTCACATAAGAAAAAAATCATGTTTTGAGATATTTTATATAAAAAACCCATCCAACCCAATAAATTAATGGCATCTCACCTGCTTTGATATGTGACAAAGTATGCACCAGCACCAGCACAAACTCTCCAACATTATCCACGCGGGCTTTGCGGATGTACAAAATCCTGTTGTTAGCATCGTAATAGAAGGAATTCCTGTATGCATTATGGGCCAGTGGCTTATTTGGAGGGATCTTATCAGCCAGAAGCAGAGTCACTGGTAAATGTTGACAATGGGCTGCTACAAGGTCCACAATGAAGCAGGCAAACTTGTAAACAACAAATTTCCTTGCACCAATCTTGTTCAGGTCAACTGGTTCCAACTCTGTGTCTTCTGTCCATTCTGCATCCAGTGGATCAATGTAGCCTTCTCCTGAATGATAAAAATAATTTTAGAGTAACCTTGATTTTTTTTTAACAGACTGATAAATTATTTAACAAAAGCAATAAATTATAAAAATTAAATGAGAAAAAAAATTCAGTAAAAAGTAGGTTTATGCAATAAACCAATAATATTTTATACAGATACAATTTGTATACACTACCAAAAATGGTTCCCTTCTACATATAGGGTAAAGTGCCATGAATTTCGAACGGCTCTTGAATTTCGAACGATCTTAAAATCGGCCGTCTGGAGTTTTTTCTGGACCATGAATTTCGGCCAGTAAGCAATTTTGCGCGATCTTGATTTCGTGAATTTCGTACACCTTAAAATCGGCCACCAGGCTATTCTCGCGCTTTTAAAGATCTAACAGTCGGCAATGTTGCCCTAGCGTACCTTTACCTGAGTACTACATCTGCGGCCCAAGGTGCAAGATAACGATCAGTACAGTTAGTTTAGGACGCTAAACAACATCGTCATATCTATTCATTCAGATAACAGGAGAATCTTTTAAGAGTTGTACTGTCGGGCTGTTGTTTCTTTACCGCAGTATTCGGTGTGAGATAGCGATCGGCAGTTTTGCTGAGGCGCACAATAGCATTGTTAACAGTAGAGACTTCAGTAACAGAACAAAAGAGCAATATTAAGAGCTGCAATAAANGATGAATATATAAAAATCTGGATTATATATATATATATAAATATTGATAAATGCTTGAAATAAACATATGGACAGATTATGTTATGGACAGCATGGAAAATGAGGCATGTTTATGCTCTCAATTTGATTTCCATTTTCTCTTAAGCAATTTCTCAAAAAATATATTTTTTCATAATTTCATGGTATTTGTGAAACAATTTGCAGTTCTACTACAATGCTTGAAAAACATTTTTGGTCTTGGTCTCAAAATAACATCATTTGGACGGTATTCATAATATATACACATAGGACATAGGACAGTTGACATTTGTGGACTAGTCTCTTTTCATAAATGTTCCCAAAAATATTGGACATCAAGAAACTTGGCTACAATGTGCTATGTAAATATCTGAGGTAACTCAAATGCTGAGCAGCTACTCAGAACAATATTTTGTGTCAAAAAATAACCTAAGCTGGACGGCATGCGTAATATACATGTACAGCTAACTAAATAATAGAAAATTTAACATTTATAGACTGTAGTCTCTCTTCAAATGCTAAATATTTGACAGGTGTATGTTGCATGTCAGTAAAGCATTCCATAAGGTGCTTCATTTCTGCGTAGTCAAAAAGTGTTTGTGAATGGAATGGCTTATTTCTTTTTCAATGCAGATTTAGGTGGTGGCTTGGAAGGAGCTCCTCCACTAGACCCAGCTGTATCTTGCTTCGTAGTCCCTGCTGTGCTGTCCAGTTTGGAGTTGAGACTAGCCTTCTTTTCTTGTAGCTCCTTCTTGCAAACATCCAGTTTCTCCGACACTGCCTTGTGCTGCATCTCCAATTTTGTAAGATGAGAACGAGCTGCAGACAACTGTGACCTCAAAGCATTCAGCGTCTGCATGCGCTGATCATGTTCTCGAGAGTCTGGATGTGTCTTACTGGCCAGGTCTGTCTCCTGGGTCATTTCGCCTTCCAGTTTGTTAATGACTTCTCTCTGGTGTACTACCTGGCTTGAGGCATCGGAGAAGTCTGCATACAGGCAGTCTACTTTCTCCTCCAGGCCCTTTACTTGTTCCTAGAAAAGTAACAAATTAAAATATTTTACAGTCAGTTTAATTTTGTCACAACATTCATGTTGAGACGACTGTGCTTGCTGCAGTAAAACTAGCTGCAATGACCACTTAAGACAAAGACAATCAGAATTATCATGCATTTATTATATATTTTCAGAACTATAGTTTACCATTTTGAAAATCAGGTAATTTGTGAATTTTAAAGAATCCTTACATAAAACATTTAGGTTTGAGTTGGCAATGGGGTAATGGTCTTTAAGTATTGAAATAATAATTAATAATTAATAATTGATTCTACTGCGATATCTATGAACCTCAATGAACCGTCTTTGTCAATAAAAGCTCAGAATTCCAATATGGTTGAACCTACCATGAGCTGTGAGGTTGAATCCATGGGTGACTGTCTGATTGCCATGTCAGGGGAGGGCTCTAATTTGTTGACAAATGTCCTGTAGAGGGCAGTACCAGTCATATTGGCTGTCATCACACTGGCCATTGAGGGTTTGTCCACAGACTTCAGACCATCACCTGAATACGATTTTGGGAAAATGTAATAAAGTTTAGGGCCCATAACCATCAATTATAAACACTAAAACAAATAACAAATAACTGACAAAATCTGAAATATCATGGCAAGCTAAAATATAGTTTTCCCTTTGATATATATAAAAATGACATAAAAACAGATAACACCGATACATAAATAAATGAAAGTCACTTTAAACACAACATAAGAAAATGTCTGATTGTGAGAATATTTCATTGTTTTCTACATAAAAGCAAATGCCTTGCAGTAAAAAATGTAAACAGATAAAGTAAGACAAACAACACCCATAAGTCTGCATTACCTGTGCTTTCTCTGTGTTTAGCTGCCAGTTCCTCAGTCACTTGGGCAGCAGAGCCATGAATTTTAGCAGACTTTATCTTGTCTTCTACTGAACCCAACTGGGACTGCAGTTTGTTGCTCAAAGTAAACCGGGAATATTTGTTAAGCCTAGAATAAAAAATGAGAAAATTAAAGTTTGGTTAGTTACACATTTTTTTCACAAACTGAAGCATGTCAGCTATTAACGAGTACTGTCAGATTATTTTGTATTTTGATTATACTAATATTAGACCTAAAACAAATGCAAATAAATAAATAAACTAGAAAATTTTATTTTAATAATACACCATTACATCAACAACTTAATTATTAAAATAAATGACTTCAAGAAACTACGTGCACATCCCCTTTCCTGACACTTTTAAAATCATGATAAACTCTACCTTTCTTGTAATCTCTCCTTGTTGAAATGAACTCCTTCAATGTTGGTAGCAGGCAGGAGAGCCACATCCAACAATTCCTCAACCATATGGTGTTTTTCTTCTTCATTATGATGATCTCCAAATACAGCTTCCAGTAGCTGACTGGCTTGTTCTTTGCTGCTGGGCACTTCTGCAATAGGTGTAGTAATGGCGGAAGAACGACGGAATCGAGCGAAGAAGAGATCGTTGCAGACAACTGCGAGTGCACGGTGGAATTCTTTGGTGAAGAATGGGCTAGTGTCGTCTCTGAGATCACCTGTGAAAGAAAAATATGGTTTTCACATTTGTTTTACAATCACGTTGCATTTACCAATTTACTGTTTTGTGTTTTAAACTGTGCAAAACAAACACGATTTGAACTTTTAAGTCTAGAACTCATCAGAATGCATGAAATTCAATCTGAATATCTCTGATTTATTTTTCTAATATGAATCATTATTCACATAAGAAAAAAATCATGTTTTGAGATATTTCATATAAAAAACCCATCCAACCCAATACATTAACCAAATAAATTAATGGCATCTCACCTGCTTTGATATGTGACAAAGTATGCACCAGCACCAGCACAAACTCTCCAACATTATCCACGCGGGCTTTGCGGATGTACAAAATCCTGTTGTTAGCATCGTAATAGAAGGAATTCCTGTATGCATTATGGGCCAGTGGCTTATTTGGAGGGATCTTATCAGCCAGAAGCAGAGTCACTGGTAAATGTTGACAATGGGCTGCTACAAGGTCCACAATGAAGCAGGCAAACTTGTAAACAACAAATTTCCTTGCACCAATCTTGTTCAGGTCGACTGGTTCTAACTCTGTGTCCTCTGTCCATTCTGCATCCAGTGGATCAATGTAGCCTTCTCCTGAATGATAAAAATAATTTTAGAGTAACCTTGATTTTTTTTTAACAGACTGATAAATTATTTAACAAAAGCAATAAATTATAAAAATTAAATGAGAAAAAAAATTCAGTAAAAAGTAGGTTTGTGCAATAAACCAATAATACTTTATACAGATACAATTTGTATACACTACCAAAAATGGTTCCCTTCTACATACAAGCCCTATACAATAATGAAAGTATCCCATCAAAATGGATTTATTCTTACGAACTGCTCATTTTACCTGGAGCCATCTTATGACCAGTCTTCACTCCACCATTGGCAAGTACTTTCTTCATCTGTTCCAGTTTCTGATACAGTGGAGATGCCATCAGCAACGCTGTCACTTCATTTTCATTCAGTGGAGCTGCCATGGTGAATCCCTGGGGCATTGGTGGAGCCACCCCTGGGGCCCCAGTCAGAGGGATGGTTTGGGGTGTGCCAGGCACCCCACTCACATACGTCTGGCTACCCATGGGGGTGATGCCCTCCAGGCCTTGTGGTTGAGGAACACCCAAGTCTTTGTTGAGTGTCTCTTTAAGTTTCATAGCCTGGACATTGAAAAAAATTGATCTGTTGAAGTCTGTCTGTACAAGGTTCAAATTGAACAAAAGATAAATTAAAACACAGGGATTTATGAACCAAGAAAAGCCTTTTTTTAAAAGATCATCCGGGGAATTATCTAAAGAATTACTCATTCCAAATATATTCATTTGTGAATTTGTCAAATTTTAACAAATTAAAACAGAAATGCTTGAAAGTATGCAATATGCTCCAACTTACCTCCTCTGCTCTGTGCCTGTCTTGCTCACTCTTTTGCTTCTCAGCAAACTCCATCATCTGGTCTTTCATATTCTCTTCTACATCTTCTTTCTTTGTCTTCATCTTTTCTTCACGACGCTTCTTAAGCCTGTCCTGCAAACTGGCCTGCATTCTCATTTTGTCTGCGTCCATTTTGTTGACCAGACGCTGAACATCCTTGTTATGTTCTTCCAGAAGTTTCTCCTGATCCTCTTTACTGCTGCCTTGTTTGGACATTCTTTCAATCTCCTCCTGTAAAAACAAATTATGGTTTACACCTAAGAAACATAAAAATGAATATATCAAACTTGTTATTAATCCCATTTTGCACTCGAGTATAATGTATGATATCAAAACAAATGATAAAGTAAAACTTTTCAGTAAAAGAAACTGCAAACATTTTAGTTAGTATGAACAGATGACAAAATTCTAGTTTAGTTTTTTTCAAAGAAGATGAAATACTGGACCTTTGGAAGCAAAAACATACCCTGACTTTCTTTTTCTTTGCCTCCAGCATTTCTTCTTTACGTCTGTTAAGGGCTTCAACATTCTTGTCAAACCTTTCCTTCTCATGTTGCATTTCTTCATCCAAATGCTGATTGAATGAATCCAACTCGTCACTCAGATTTTTCTTTCTTTCTGCTTCAAATTCTAGTGCAACAAGCAGAACAACTCTGTCAAATGGAAATTTTTATCTCCCCCTTTTTACTGCTACATACAAGGGATGTGGGACTGTTAAAAGCAGTTCAGTTTGGACAATGCATATAGATTTTTACCTCAGCTATGATATTATTAAAAAGGAAGTGAAAAAAATAAATGTTGCACAGCATGTGTCACCATGGCCATATCACAAACTGCCTACCTTTTCTTTCCTTCCTCAATCTTTCTTCCATTTCTTTCCGTTGTTGCTCCAGGTTTCTCTTCACCTCATTCAGTTCCTCTACAGCTAGTTCAGCCTGTTGGATACCCTCATTGTCTGGGTCAAATTCTCGTAGGGCCTCAGCAAATTCCTGACAAATATGATCAAATATACTATACATGATTAAATGGAAGTTGACAGGCATCTTTGTCTGTAAATTAAATTAAATTTTAATTATAAATTTGGTATTTCTTTCTTAAAAAAAGTTACTCACAGCAACTTTTTTTCGTTGTTATAAATGCACTCAGTGTTACAGCAAACAAGTCATTGCTTTTAAGACCTGTTTTCATATGCTTTATAACAAAATGCAGGCTTGCAATCTAGCAATTTTTCACCTGAGCGTAAGCTGCATACACTGCACATACCTTGTAGTGCCTCTCCTTCAAATTCAATTTAGCCTGGGCATAAGCAACCTCCCAGTTGGCTAAGGCACTCCTCTCAATTTCTTTCTGTTCTTCCAGAAGTTTCTTGTCCAGTGCTGCCAGCTCCAGCTGTTGCCTGTTCAACAATTCTGCTCTCTTTTGTTGGAGCTCCTCTGGGGTCAGATCTTCTTCCTGGAAAGAATGGCACATGTAATTACATATCAACTGTCTTGACATTTGAATACTTGTTGAAACTGTATCAAAAGCATCTGCCTGACTTGCATATATCATATACAGTGATCATATAAAACATTCTTCAGCTTTTAGATCACATTTAAGATCAACATTTTTTTTTTGCTATTATGGTTCTAACATGTCAAATGTGTATTTTTAAATAAATCAAAACATAATTTCATAACAGTAAACTAAAAACAAATGTTAATCAATTTGTTATTTTTTTTTTACCAGTAATGCTTGTAGTTCAGCATCATGTCTCTTCATTATCTCCTCACGTTTCTTCTCATACTTGTCCTGAAGCTGACTGATGGCGGAATCCACCATCAGATGTTTCTTTGCAGCAAACTCTTTGTCCAAGTCTTGCACCTCCTGAAAAATTTTGAATGAGAAAGATTCATAGTATGGATGAACCACTACAGCATTAAGATGGTGGGAATAATTAAGGTTCTTTTTTTCATCCTTTGTTCTAGAAAAAAGTCAGGGTATGTTTTTGCTTCCAAAGGTCCAGTATTTCATCTACTTGGAAAAAAACTAAACTAGAATTTTGTCATCTGTTCATACTAACTAAAATGTTTGCAGTTTCTTTTACTGAAAAGTTTTACTTTATCATTTGTTTTGATATCATAGGAAAGCAGGAAGAGATTAAAGCTATTGACATTAAAAAATGAGCAGAGCAAACTGGATTTGAGTTGTTATTTGATACTAGTACAGACAAATAGATATAATATGACAGGCTGAATGAATATCACTTAAACCAACCTGTTGATGTCTTTTAGCCAGCACAGCTCTCACAACTTTATCACTGTCATCTATTCCATTCTCCTGGACACCTTCCATCATGGCCTGCTGTTCTATTTCCTTGGCCTGGAATTTCAAAGATATATCTAACTTAATGTTATCTTTAGTGAAAGTCAATTTACTACACTGTTATGGCTTACAAACATGATTATCAAATATTATGTCATATCTCAAGCTATTGTGAGCAAATTAATCATATGTATGGCACTTGAGCAAAGCAAAATTCATTAAATATTTCTCATTGCGGACAGCAGGACACTTTAATCTGCATCAATGCAACACATTTAACATGTAAACCTTGGAAGAACACACATTAAGGAAATTTTTTGTAAAACTTTAACCTAGAATATGTATTCTGCACCACTGGAAACATTCAGTTGCAAACCTTTTGTGTTTTCACTTCATCTAATTCCTTCTTCTGTTCCAGCATCTCTTTGGTCAGCTGCAGCTCTTGCTTTCTTCTTTGTTCTGCCAATTTACGAGCCTTTCTCTCAGCAAGTTTATCTCTCATGTTCAACTGCTGTCGTGCCCTGTCTGCATCCAGCTTCTCTGCCAGTTCTTCCAACTCATGTTCATGTGAGGCAATAAGCTGCAATAGAAAATGAAAAAATGGAACCATGAAACCTATGGTTATAAATGTGGATTCACCAATATGATAATCCAAAAAGGTGCGAATGCCCCTTTATAATATGTGTTACATGTTACATTTTAAAGAATTTGCATTTTTGTGCGCCCAAAAGTTTACAGGTTGTCCAAGAAGAAAATGGAATATTCTTGTTCCAAGATTCACATGACTGTCCCCTTCATGTGTTTCTTAAGATTCTCAAAATTATTTGCTGGCTAATAAAGCATGTTATAAAGGGTACTCACAGCAGCTACTTGTTCTTCTGTGAGATCAGTTCTGGCAGCCAGTTCAGCAGCTTGTTTGTTCTTCTTCTCTTTCAATATCTTTTCTCTGTCTGCTTCAGCAGTCTTGTTCAGTTTTTTCTCTGCCTCCCTGGCTTCTTTGTCCAGTTCTTCTCGTAACTTTTCACGCTCATCTGCATGTCTCTTCTTCATTTCTTCCTGGGCTCTTTGCTAAAATTGTTTATAAAATTTGTCAAAACCCTCATTTAAATTTTAATTGAATTAAACTTGGCTCAAGCCTTACAGTAAAAGTATTAAAATATTTATTTGCTGGCATTTTGCTGCTAAAACTAATAGAAATATTTTTAAAAAATTGGACACAACTACAAAATAGGAAATATGATTAAAATGAAAAAATTCTTTTTAACATTAACTAAACTTATCTCATTATTGAATGTTCAACTTTGATCCCAAGTGACTTAACAATATACAGTTAACATAAAACTCATAACTTTTTCTTCTAACCTGTTCTTTCTTCAATGCCTGCTCCTCCACAGATTCCTGGTAATTAACCTGAGGTGGTTTAAGAAGTCCAGCACCCTCTGTGGGCCTCACTACTTGCTTCATCTGGGCCTCCTGCTCCTCCAAGAACCTCTGGGCTGCCTTCTCTTCTGCCTGCCTCTTAGACTCCAGCAACTTACGAGCCTTACGGGAGGCTAACTTAGCCTAGAATACAACACATTTAACTTTGATTATTGTAATTTTGAAATTTTGTGACTGTGGTGTTTTTACATGCAGGGTAAAATTGTTGTCATGTGTTATGTATCTATCTGTTATGTTCTTGGTGGCTGCTCATATTCAATTCTAATAACAAAACAGATAAGAAAGACAGGATAATGAAAATAAATGGTCATAAACTGTTGAAACATCTGTGGCTGTGATAAAAACTCCAAGCCTTTAAACAACAAGATAAATGTTGTTGGATCTCTTTTGGGTAATTAGAGGACCATTTACCTGCAACTCCTGTGCCTGTCTGCCCTTCTGGTACTGCAGTTCTTGATCTAAGGTCTCAGAGTCTTTGCGGTACTGGTCAAGTATCTTCTGTTGCATTATGGCATCTATCTGAGGGTTGGATTCTGGCAACTAAAAGAGCCATTCGAACCTCATTTATTAAGACTGCTATGAAAATTTAGGGCACATGATTATGGAATTAATTTCCTATGAGACAAAAACCAAGAAAAAAAGTTAAGATCAAATAACTTTCATGTAAAAGATAAACAAACAAGGTTAAAACCAAGCAGCAATGTAAAGAAATGTCAAATAGTAATATTTGCCATGAAAAATAATGCAAAAAAGATTGCACATTTTATTAATTGTAACTCATAAATATATAAAACATCGTATTTACCCTCTTAATCAGCTCTCTCTGAGCATCTTTCACAGTGTTCATGTACTCTTCATTGGTTGCTTCTGTGGCTCTCTTGATGTGTTCTGCTTCCTCAGACTCTAGCTGAGCCTCCAGTGCTTCCCTCTCATAGCTATGCTGTGTTGACATGTCTTGTAGCACCTTTTCAAGCTCCTCGTGCTTGCCTTCCTGCATCATCTTGGTGGAAATCTGGGCATAGATTTATATAAATACATTTAAATGTTTATATAAATCTTATGTATGTAGGTCTAGTTATTAAGATCTGCTTCTCTGTGAGCTGATAGTTATAAAGTAATACAACGTATAAGGGTATGCTGTGGTTGCCAGCACCCGAATGTGTGTCACTTTAATAAGTGGCTAGTAACTTTATACAAATTGTTCATTCACCATTAACTTTGTCAATAAATGTCATGGTTCTTTTTACAATTAACCATAAAAACACAGTTTGCAAATTCATACCTCCATCCTTTCCTGTTCCTGTTTATCTTTCAGTTTGTTCATCTTTTTTCTTCTTCTGGTGCCCATATTGCTACGAATCTGTGACACCTGCATGGCACGACGCTTTTCCATGTTGGCTTTAATGGCAGCCTCCACATCAAGTTGGTTTCTGACTATTGCTTGTTTTTCTTCTTCGCTCATGGAACCATTGTTGACCAAGTCCTCCTAAATAAGCAGATGCATGTATTCATATAACTTTCATTTTTAGGGTTTATAGTACATTTTGCAATATCACATAATAAAGATGCACAAGTAAATGGTAATATAAATATGACTACAACAACTGTAATATAGGCTGGAGTCCTCATATTATGTATCAGAAAAATATATGCACAAGCTACATGCTCTTAAAGTATGTAACTTAGTTTCTTTTTTTATTAAAAATGAGATGAATGCATATGGTCCTTCTTTTAAGAAAATACTGGTTATTTACTCCAATTTGAAAATGAAACTTAAAATCTTTCTTTGACACAATAGCTTATTTATTTTTCAAGACTGAAAAAAATGGACACTTCAACTTAATTGTTTTCCACAGAATAATGCAAACTTGCAGGCACACAGTTAAGATAAACTAATATGTCAAAATTTGGAAAAAAAAAGAGTTATACCAGCTGCTCTTGTAGACTCTCAGACATCTTGTTGTTAAATTCATTGGTGGTCTTGTTGCTGATGTCAGCCTGTGCCTTGGCTAACTCAGCACTCTCCTCAGCATTCTGGGCATCATGGAGGGCCTCATTGGCCAGGACCTTGCTGCCTATTGTGTCTACTGGGTCTGATGGTAGCGGGAGTCCAGCGGCTGCAGCCTAAAGGGGAAGGGATAAAATATTATAAATAAAGAGATATCTATAGACTGATATTAATCCATCTATTTAGGCAGATTTATCTGTAAATTTGTTAAACTTCTTAAACTCTGTAATAATTTACAAAGTTTCACTTTTTAATTTAGAAAAAAAATTACATGAACATAAATGTATTAATTATGCCCAAGTACATATTTCCCACACACCTCTTGTGCATGTTTTTCCCTGAGTGCAGCCTCTTTCTGGCGTCTCTTCTCAGCCAATCTGCTGCGTATTTCTTTCAACTGTTTCTCCTTGGCTGAGTTGAACTGTTCCATAGCTGTCTGAAGCTCACGCTCATGATTGGCGATGATGTCTCGCATTTCTTCCTCTGTCAGATCACCTGAATATTACAACATATAAATGAAGTAATTCGTGGGATATTTAAAAAAAGGGGTCTCCTCATTATACTAGTGATGTAACAGATGAGTAATAAGTATTTCAGACTGAATATGACAAAAAAATATTTTATGTAATGATGAATTCATTTGGGATATAATTTGTATTTGTTTCCATAAAAACAGATTTGATTGTATTTTGACACCTCATGAAATAACAAAAACTTTACATTCTATATCATAAAAAAGGTTCTTGATAAACTATAAAGGACACTGTGAAAGGAGATTGTTGTTCATATGGTCTGCATTGTAAATTACCTTGCAGTTTGAAAGCCAGTTTATCAGCCATTTTGTCCAGAAGCTGTTGGCGTTTCTTCTCCTGGTCATCTAGAGCATCAGTCAAGGTCTGGGCTTCTTCCTCTTGTAAGTCTCTCTCCAGTTGTACACGTTCTGCCAGCTGCCTCCTCAACAGATCATCCTGACCCTGAGGTTATAAAAAATGATTATTCATAATATTCACATCCGTTAATGGCTATTGTATTATTATTATTATGAACAGAAGAGATCATCTAGAGTAAAAATGCACATTTTGTATTTTGTTTATATATCACTTTTTTAAAGATTTGATATTTTTGAAAATATCATTGAAATTCTCGTCAATCATTATACAATCCTTAATAAATAAAGTGAAAACTGCCTTATCAATACCAGATGTAAAATATACAAAGATACATATCAGTTAATTCTAACCCAAACTACAAAATATACTTATAACAAAATATACTCTTTCACATCAGTTTGTATCTATCATTTACACATTTATTTTTCTTTAAATATTTCTTACTGAATTTCTATGACTTACAGCCACAGGTGCTCCAGCGCCACCTTGTGTGTTGATGTTCAGAACTCCACCTTTCTGTGCATTCCTGATCATCTCCTCTGTGATGGGAATATTGCCAGAGTTCAGCCTCTCCACCAGGAGCTGTAATGCATGCATCAGTTCTGCTTCCTTGCTGCTACCTCCTGGTGTATTAAAAGAACGTATATGTATATTTTAAGGAAAAAATGGCAGAGAAACAAGAAAACTTTATCTCGATAAAGTACAGAAATAAAAATATATACTTTTAGTATTGCTTGCTAATTTCAAGGAAAAAAAATCAAGAATCAATGGGTGAATCTATGATTCAACATTGAATGTTCTATGATGTTGTCTGTCCTGTAAAGTAACAGTTCTTTATCCTTATCATGCAGGAACCACACTACAATGTTCTGCAAAGGCCAGCATTCTCTTACTAACAGGCTGAGACCATGTCATTTTTTGGGAGAAAATATATATCACTAGCTCTCCAGGCCAGTGAAGTTTAAATTTTACTGTTTCAACTAAAAAATGCTGGTCCGGTCATAGCAAAGCAAACATATTTATAATGCAAATACTTGATGTACCTACAAGTGCCTTTTTTTACTCACCTGCAAATTTATACTTGGAATGACCAGTGCCACCTAGTGTTATGTTGGTGTTCAACACATTGGTTCCCTCTGCAGCTGCACCCTGAAGTCCTTCATGGACGACTTGACCATCGCCCTCACGCTGTCTCTGTTTCTCTATTTCTGCAAGCTTGGACACATCCAGGTTATTGAGCAGTTTTTTGAGTTCTTCATTCTGCCCACTCATACGCTCATAGAAGTTCCGCAGGTCATCCTGATGTTTGGCCAGCTGGGATGCAAGATGGAGATTTTGGTCCTCAAGCTTGTCGTACAGGACACGGACATTGAAATCTTCAAGGACAGGTTCTCCAGAATCACCTAGTGAATAATGATGTAAAATTAGTGATTCATCTTCTAAAAAGAGAAATTCATGAGGCAGTATCCTCGCCATTAACATATTAATCTTCCTAATTTTAGCAACACATATGAAAAGCACCCTTCACTCTGCCTGGGTCATAAAAATTCTAACAAGAAATATTGCCGACCAATCTCAAAGTCACACCCAAAGAAACAAAGAAGTTGTCAATTACCAATGGTAACATCAGCTTCTGCCCCATCTCCAAGATGTCTTACAGGGAATGCCCCATGTTTATGTAAATCATCCCAGTGATCACTGTCATACATCAGGTAATGGGGTACAGCAGGTGGCGCCCCCAAGCTGCGATATTTGGGCTTCCAGTGCTTCATGGGATATATGCCAGCATCACGTGGTCGCCAGATGATAACACCCACTACCATTAGGATAACACAGGCACCCAGGAATGCCAACATGCCTAAATAGTGAAAAACAGGTCATTGCTGTAATAATAATAATAATAATAATAATAATAATAATAATAATAATAATAATAATAATAATAATAGTAACACATTTTTTAATATTTAAAAAAGTCAAAAGTATACAAACATTTTACCTAATCTTGGAGAAAAAAATAATGAACAAAATCAATGTATGTTATCTTACAAATTGAAATCATAACTGAAGGTAAAAGTAGTCACTAAACAAATATCCATAGAGGAGAAAATATTAGAATATAATTAACACATGCACACAAGCTACACCAATATAATCTACCTACCATATATGAGTCCCCAGTCAGGTGCTTCATTGGTCGACTGACTCTTCTGTACCCCAAGGTTCACCAAGTTCGCTGTAGAGGAAGGCTGGATACGACTCTTGTCAGTGCTACAGGCGCTTCCAGCTGGTTTGACTGTCACAATTAACTGCCTGTAAGATGGATATTTATGTTTCAGTAAGTCAAATGTGATGTCAGTTTTGAACTGAAGGTGACATGGTGCCTTTTTTGCTAATTTTTGCTAGACACAATTGATTCATCTGTTTATCTATCAATCAAAAATTTTGTTTACCTTGCATTTGACTGTGCATCCACAAACACATAGGTTCCCTCAGTGGTAAACACATGAGCAAATGAGTTGACAGTTACGTTGGTCTGTTCCACATAGTACGCCAACTCCGTGAAGGCCCCATAGTCAAACAACGGGTTGGAATTGTACAAATGATTCTTCAAGTATACTGGGTAGTGACTCAAGGTACGTTCAGTATCATTGACCCATATCCGGAAGACCATCATCTCGTCCAGTTCAAGACAGATGATTGGGTTGGGTACTGATAATCCAGAACTGTTGGTGATGGTGGTTGTGGTGTTCACCACTTGGAGCAGACGTCTGGCACCGGTGGTGACAACTGAGCCAGTTGTGGTGACTGTAAGATCTTTTAGTGATGCTGGAAAAATAATTGAGATCATTGAAGTAAACCTGATTGCAAAACCTACACAACTTTCTATATCTATATTACCTATAAGCTACACACAAAGTTTAAAGTTTTTTCCTTTCAGGGCATTTTAACTAAACATCTTTGAGCTATCATGATTATTTTTTATGAACATAAGGACATTCATCAGGATCAATCACTATTTTAATTTGTTACTAACAGTAATGGTAGATTTTGACCACCCTTCTGTTCTTGTTGAAAGAAATCCCCCTTTTTAAAACATGTTACTTTAAAACATGTTATAAGTGTCTTATTTGCTTTATCTTAAGCTGTCAAACAAAGTGTAAAAATGTCATCCAAACAGGATTGATCTAAGCCTTGAGTGATGAATTTCACACAAAGGCCAATTCACCCTTTAAAAGATATATAAAAAACTCACTAAAAGCTGCATCCGTCTGGTCTGCATCATACAAAAAGTCCCCAGTTATTCTGTCTGGCCAGCAGCTGACAACATAAGTATTCTTGCTGCCAGATGTTTTACTGTTAGGCCCTATAACACCAGCCAGTGTCTGAAATAGAAAGAATATTTGGATCTATGTAATAACAAATATTAACAGAAAAGTACTGCTTTCACTGTGACATGTTATTTGTTTGAACCCCAACCAAAAGGTTCTGGATGGACCAAACCATGATTTGGAGCAAATTATAATGCTTTAAAAAAATTTCCTTATATGGCATACTGTCTTTATCATTTGGCAGTTTGTGTGTCATCTTGGTTAAGTATGAATCATTTTAAAATTTATACAAAGTCATGTTTCATAAATGTATCCACAGACATCCTCAACAATAAATAATGGGTCTAGGAACGAAAAAAAGATATCTTTTTCTTTTTGTGACAAAAGATGAACAACCATTGCCCTGTGGGAGGCCACATCAAATGCTTAACACCTCTTATCTTACCTGACTTTGGTATATCCCAGTGACAGGATCATAAAAGGTGCTGACCACAGTTCCGTCAGCCTTCCTTTCTACAGAGATGGTTGGTGCAGTGCTGAGGCAGGCTGAGTTACAATACTCACTGGGCTCTACATAACTGTCACACTCACAGCTGTAATACGCAGAGTAAAGGTGAATACAGGTTTACAAAATGAAATATGAGTGAGGGTGCAAAAACTGAAGTATTTCAAATAATAATGAAATATTTCAAACATTTAGGAAAAAGCTGCAAATATATATGCACACCCTAAAAGATATAAATTACATAGATTGAAACCAGTAACATTTTGACATTAACATGGCAATACTCCCTTAAAAATAAGCACAGCAATGTATGATTAAATTTAATTAACCCTCAATGTCTGCATGAAGTTATCTACATTTTATCTTAAAGAAAAATATCCACATGTAAAAATCCTTACCTGCCAAGATCGCTATTCAGTTGTCCACTCTTTCCATCACACTTTTCTGTGCAATCGTAACTGTCAGGGTAGACGCATGTCCTTTCATCAGCCAGACGGACCTGCCCCAGGGAGCAGCGAGTATCCACAATCAACTGACAGTCTCCGTCTCCATTCCCAGTTTCCTCCTTCTGGTCAGCTTCATTGTAGTAGATATACCCTGATTCACACTCACAAGAACCTATGGAGCTCTGGAAAGCTCTGTTCTTCCCAGTACACGTACAGACAATACTTCCCAAAGTGGATGTTGAAGTGCTTCCACATCCTTTACAGGCTGTCTGTCCTGACAGATCATTGAACAAACCTGCAGCACACTGGGCACATTCACTAAATGACTTTGCCTTTTCTCTGTTTCCGTATCGTCCTGGCGGACATGGCTCAGGAATGTGTGACCCCTCTGGACAGTAGTATCCCCTTGGACACGGGAAGTCCATGTAATAACCTGCAGGAGCGTAGCAGTAGTAGCCAGCTGGGCAGATAGTGCAGTTATAGTAGTTTGTATTATTGCTGTATGTGCCGTTTGGACAGATAATGCAGGACTCTGCCTCACTGACCCTCAGCTGGTTGTGATCCACAGCAATGTACCCTAGAGGGCACTGGAGTGGCTTGTCACTTCCAGCAGGACAGTAAGTAGTGTAGTTACATATGTATGGCACCTCAGTAGCATTTGGGCAATAATATCCTGCTGGACACAGCAAGGGATCCCCAGTGACTGCTGGACAGTAGTATCCACCCATGCAGTCAGTTTCCAAAGCCGATCCCTCTGGACACTGGAATGTTGCTCTGCATGGTATTCCACCAGTGTTTTCCGTGTTGTTTGGACAGTAGTAGCCTGGCCTACACAGTGGACAGTCAGTCCAACTGGCTGCACCAGTGGTGTTTCTCAGACGTCCTGCTGGACACAGCTCTGGTTCTGAGGCCTCTAAGCAGAAGTGGGCAGCTGGACATGGGATGTTCGTGTAGCTGGCCATACCTGAGGATTGATAAATAAAAAAAAATGTTCAATATTATAAAACTCATGTAGAATGCAAAATATATCTTTTGACATCTTCATCATTTTTGTTACATAACATCTACTAAAAAAGACCCGAGTTATTGTTTTTAACTTCTTCTCAAAATATATCCAATCTAGAGTAATTAGTATGAGATCAAAAAATAATGTGTGGCAAATTAAAATTTCCGACTTATTTATTTTACTTAATTTCTAAATTATCATGCACATAAGACTTACCAGTGTAGTTACACCAGTAACCAGGTGTGCAGGGGTGGCAGTCAGTGATATTGGCAGCACCCACAGTATCCCTGTATGTAAGCCTAGGACACTCTGCCCGTCCCTGCCCTGCCAGACAGTAGTGACCTTCTGTACAGCTGTGCTTTATTGGGTCTCCTGATGAAGTAAAATGATAATGTTCTTCATTACGTTCCAATGTTATTAATTTTAGCTAAAAACCACATCCAAGTTGTAGAAACTATATCTGATAACACAATAAATCCAAAACACAGACTACATGGAAATTTCTCTATACTACCAATTCCAGAAACAGGGTTTTTGGCTAATAACTGAACAATACTTGATGCACTCCATCTGGTTAGTCACATTAACTTTTCATTCTCCATCCCAATATAAATTTTCCTGTTCATTCACCTTCCAAGCAGTAATAGCCAGCAGGGCACTCCATACAGTCAGACAACTGGCTGGCTCCCTTTACCTCCCTCAGGGTGTGTTCTGGACAGGGGATAGGGTCCTGTGCCCCCTCTGGACAGTAAAACCCTTCTGGACAAGGTCCAGCACACACAGTGCCTGCCTCACAGAAGTCCTGGTCAGGGTTATAGGTGTCGTTGTACTTGAGAGTGTCCTCTGGAGTAGGGTCGTATGCTCCTGACAGACAGAAATACCCGGCAGAACAGTTGTACTGCAACTCTCCGCTCCTGAAGAAAGTAGAATTATAAATTATTAATAGAAAAGTATATAGAAAGGGTTCTCAAGCAGATGAGTTGTTATCAATTCTTTTTATGTATGATGAGCAAATAGTTTTCTATGATTTATTGGTGACATGATACTGCATGAATGGGAACATTACCAAACTATATGATAAAACTTTAGTAGCTTGTTTGGCGTACCTGCAGAATAATCCTGTTGGACATGGCAGACACTCAGTGGAATCCCGCAGGCCTGTAGTGGTGTTATCTGTATATGTGCCATTGGGGCAGATATAGGGGTTAAAGGTTCCTGAAAATAACAGTAACACTTTTATGAACATTTAGCATCTTGATTTGGATTTTTCTTCACACATAAATCATTGCAAGAAATTCTCAATATGCCAAATCTAACAAAAGTGTAGTAAACAACTAGACAGCACATATTTGTGAGATCCTGTTAAAATTTCGAAATACAAAACCTCAAAAATTTAAGAATCAAATATTCAATTAAAACAATGTTGTTATGTAGTCATGCAGCTAACGATAAGTATATTTTCTCTTTTCTGATACTAATCCAATTATTCTTATATTTAAAAAGGATTTTAAAACATTTTTCAGAATACATACAGATACATTAAGAGTAACTGAGAGAAAAAAAGGGTACAACAAAACAAAAATCCTACCTTCAGGACAATAATGGTGAGGTGGACAGATGAACTCATTGACACCCTGGCAGTAATACCCAGCTCGACATTTTTCACACGAAGCCTGGCGGACATTAGGCTGACTCTGGGCTCGTGGACAGGGTATGGGGTCAGGAGACCCAATGGGACAGTAGTTATTAATTGGGCATCCTGTTTCTGTGGGCGAGGCTGAAGTGGTGGTTTGATTTGGTGGGCAGTAGTACCCTGCAGCACACTGTCCTGTTGGTGAACTCAACCCTGGGTTTGCACAATAGTAGCCTGCAGTACACGGGGCGCAGTCAGCTTCTGATCTCCCTCCTATTTAAAGCAAAAAAACATTGAGCAATGCTATATATATGTATATAAAAATCTTAACGCCTATGCTACAAGACTAATTAAGTGGAATATTAATGTATCCAATACCAACATGATTTTTAACATGTGCCAATGCTTTATCTGATATTTAATACAATTCACCTGCAAAACATAACGAATCATAAAAATCCTTCAGATGTTACTATTTCATAAGCATCTCTTTCTAGTCTGTGCTACATTGTTCATTATTTCATCAAGGGATCTAAGCCACTACATTGATTCCCTGTCATATCATATCATATCATTCAAAAGTCAGTAGTTTTACCTGTGACATTCCTGAGTGTTCCAGATGGACACTCCACTGGTGCTCCTGTTCCTTCAGGACAGTAATAGCCAGGTGGACACAGGTCATTCATGGGGAACAGGACAGAGGGTGAGGGTGTGCTGGTACTGGCACCTCCCTGACAGTAGTAACCTTCTTGACAAAGACCTGCAACAAATCATATGAAGTCGTAACACTGTATTAAGTTCATTAAACCTACTTCACTTAATACATCTGGTCAATAAATAAATAAAATAATAAATAAATAAATTTAGTAATAAAAGTGTATTACCTTCATTATATCTACTACAGTAACTGTGAACTCTGTTAAATAAATAAATAAATAAATAAATAAATAAATAAATAAATAAATAAATAAATAAATAAATAAATAAATAAATCACAGTGTCCCATACCTGTTGGGAAAGAGTTACCATATCCCATACAGTGCATGCCAGGAGGACAGTAGGGGCAGTCACTAGCACTGCTCAGTCCAGTGCCATTGTTGTATGTGCCTGGTGGACATGGCTGGGAAGTATTGCCTTCTGGGCAGTAGTGACCTGAACAGACAAAAATACTCTCCTGTGGAAAAAGTTGCATAACTCACACTGAACATCTATATTGTTGTGCTTGACTACAAACCAGAGAGAGAAATTTCTAATAGTTTACTATTAAGTTTATATAAGGAACTGAATTAACCTAAATTTGAATTTAAACCCTTATGATATGCAATCGACCTGTGCAATAATGACACTACACATGTTCTCATAACAATGACTACAAACTTGATAGTCAAGATTTTATAAGTATCCACACAAGCTGACTTTTATGAACACAACCAGTAAAACACTGAAAAACAATAATCTATTATCTCAATTGGATGTCTAATAATCCCCAAATACATGATGATATTCATGACACACAAGCTCACCAGACTTGCAGGGTTCAGGTGTGGTCATATTGTGTTTGTCACACATCCAGCCAGCTGGACATATGGTGCAGTTAGCCTGGCCAGAGTTAGGCTGGTATGTACCCACACCACAGCCCAGCTCTACACTAGAGCCCTCTGGACAGTAGAACCCTGGTGGACAGACGTAGCCAACAACGCCATCTAGGGGAGTAGGGGTGGAACTGCCTTGTAAGCATACGTAGCTGGAAGTCAAATTATAACATATAATTTAAGTCACTTGCTTTTAGTTACTAACAGGCATTTTTCTTTGCTCTTTTTTTTTAAAATAAAACAAGTCTTTGTTTTCTTTTACTGATCATATTATATATTTATTATTATTTCTAAAATGTCTCTATCTGTAGCATGATCTTCAACCAATAGTTACTCATATAATGCACATTTTTTCTGGTTCATACAAAAGGACTAATCAAAAGATATCAAAACTGAAAAATCAATATAAAATACTTAAGCCGCAATGAGAAACATCTCAAAGCAAAGAATGCAGTATCAAACTTTTCATTCAAAAAGTGCTCCATCTTACCCAGGATCACACATAGGAGCATTATTCCCAGCAGTGTAAGCCATCTCACTGCAGTAGCGCCCTGCAGGGCACAGCTCACATTCTGTTGCATTGGTCAACCCCTGCACTGTAGAGGAGGTTCCTAGAGGGCAAGCCACAGGGTACACAGTGCCATTAGGGCAGTAGTAACCAGCTGGGCATATGTCATTGCCAGTGAAGTTAGCACTGCTGATATCCACCTGTTAAACAGAGAGAATAAATAAAAATTAACATTGTGAAAATTCAAGATGAAGTAATAGGAAATCATTCACCTTAATAACTTATGTCAAAACTTATAATCTTGAAGTCATGTAAAAAGTGGGTATAAATGCTAGCATGATTATCTCATAGGTATTCCAAACTTGTTAAGCCATAACCATAAAAAAATGAATGAATATAACTATTTCATATCAAAAGGCAACAAATACTTTTTGACCCAGCATTGATAGCAAAAGTAAATTTTCAACATAGGAATTACATAAAAACAGGGTAATAGGTGGAAAAGGAAAAGTAACAGCAAAATGTATTCCAAAACAAGTGAAGTATTTCATGAAAAAAATTAATAATTAGCGAAACAAAATGAGAGTAAATGTGTTCCCTCGTGTCCTAGCCAACTGACCAAGTGATTGATGGGTGCTGCACTATCTGCTCCTCCAGTACAGTAATATCCTGCATGACAAGGTCCAGATGGCGCTGACAGTCCCTCAATCTCACAATATGAGCCAGCATCACAAGCTGTGCAGTTCTCTACACCAATGGACTGGGTGACAGCCACATAGGTGCCAGCTGGACAGGGGTTACTTCTGGGCAAAGTGGTGCCCAGTGGACAGTAATGGCCAGTTGGACATTCTGTTGGGTTCACAACTGGGTGACCTGGAAAGAGTGAAATGTTGGATGATAAAAATGGGGTAGTGCTACAAAAATTAAAGCGAATGGTTATCAAACCCAGAAATGATTTGACATGGTGACCATGCAATGGGCAGCAATGTTTGCATGTAATCAAAGGTTTACTAGTTCTAATAAATAAAATTCATGCACTGGTAATGATTTCATTAATTGTTTGATCAATCTATGCAGGTGAAAATCGTTTTTTCTTAAAAATCAACCAGACAAGTGGTCATAGCATTCTGAAATCTGACTGACTATATATAAAATGGACTGGCATACACAATTTAACTAAAAAATGAGACATGCCTAAGGAAATGTGAATGTAACAAAACTTTTCAGGTTTGTGCATGCTGAACTCAAGAATAAATTAAACATTAAGCAACCATTATATACTGTACACAGATTCGTCTTTATGCATGCAGTGAATGAAAAAAAAAGTAAAAAGAATGCAACTCTTGGGTTATACACGCTGCAGAGAAACCATAGGATATTCACTCTAAGAAAATTGGTGCAAAAGGTTTTCACTATTCAAAAGTTGCACACAGAATTTGTTTGGTGCTGTGCAGTATTGGGGTGTGCAGTATTGGTGCAGTGCTGCAATGTACATCATAACCTAACAGTGGGGAGAAACAAGAAGTGGGAGGGAGACAGCAAAAATTATAAGCTAGATCTGGTTATAACTTAAATCCACATTCATAAATCAGTCATAAATGCACTGTTGTATCCTGCCATTTTTTTGTATCGAAAATATATTTCCAATTACAATTATTAGACCAGGAACAATTTGTGTAGTTATGGCAGACTAACAGGATCAACACACACAC